TCAGGGAACCACTTCAGTTCTCATGGGTTTATACCTAGGAGTACAAATGTTTAACATTTTGAGGACTTGCCAAACTGTTTTTCAAAGTGACAACAGCAATGTATTAGGGTTCCAACTTCTCCACATCCCTGCCAACATTTATCTGTCTTGGATTATAGCCATCCTAGTCGATATGAAGTATATTTCATTATGGTTTTGATTGTTCTGTTTTGATTGTCATCTTCCTAATGACTAATGATGTTGAGCATCTTTTCAAGTGCTTATTGGCCATTTGTATATCTTCTTTAGAGAAATGTCTATTCAAACCCTTTGCTCATTTTTAAAATTGAGTTAGTCTTTCTACTATTGAGTCTTAAGAGTTTCTTATGTATTTTAGGTATGTCTCTTGCCCATTCTATAGATGTTTTCATTTTTGTTATGGGTCCTTTGAAGCACAAAAGTTTTTAATTTTGGTGCAATTTATCTATTTTTCATTACTTGTACATTTGGTGTTCAACACATTCGTCTGAAGGAAGGTTGGGCAATCTACTTCTATAATGATACTGCCTTGGAAACCCAAAGGGTCGCTATGAATCAGATCCAACTCGATGGCAGTGAGTGAGAGATATGTCTTTTTGCATCTATTGCAAAAATATTGGATCATTCACATGGTTATTGGCAAGAGCTTTAGTTTCTTGCTGACTATTGGCAAGAAGTCTCAATACCTCTCCATGTGGGCTTTTCCATAGGACTGATTTGATTTTTGTACTGTATGATGTATTTCCTAGTTTAAAACAATGTCTTTAATTTAAGAAGTAAATAATGCCAGAAGGGAACTTTCTGAAGTAATAAAAATGTTCAATAGCTTGTTTGGGGTAGTGATTTCATGGGTGCACACAGTTATCAGGTTATTTATAGTAATGAATAATGATAATTGGACTGGACAGTGTTTCATTCTGACATACATAGGGTCACTATGAGTTAGAAGTGACTCTGGCACCTAACAACAGCACAACATACAATTATAAAAGTCCTTCTAACTGAACAATTAAGAGCTCTGCATGTAAGGTAAGCCTCAATAAAAAAAATAATGTAATAAATAGATGGTGCTACTTAAAAATATGACATAATTAAAATTTAAGGAATGGTCAGTGATAAACACAATAAACTTGTCTTTAAAATAACAAGCTAACAATAGATCACACTTGCCTTATGGTGTTAATGCATTTCTCAAATCCATTTTTTGTTAATGTTGATGAGGAGATTTCAGATTAGCAAAGACATTATAAAATAAAATAGGCAGGTTAACTTGGCTGAGGTAAAGCAAGCTTTATGTCAAGAAATAGTATCAACTTCATGATTACACATAGCCAAGTAAAGGGAAAATTACATACATTACTTGATGTAAGTATAAAATAGGGAGTTTAATCTTTGAACCAGTAGGCTCCTGGGAAGTTAGCCTTGGTGATCTGCTTCTGAAAGGCCACAGCTATGTGGTAGCTCTGCTCTGCACACGTGGGGTCGCCATGAGTCAGAACTGACTTGCTGGCAACTAACAACAACAGGCCCACTCTCCAAATAAGCACTGTTTTATAACTTATCTGTTATGAAGTCAGAATCAACTCAATGAGTATACTTAACAGGTGAAGAAGCCAGTTATTTTTGCATGTCTGTAAGGATTATAAAATTTGGAGTTCTCCTTAATGTTACTGTAATTTTCATTTTAAAGTTAAGCAGTATGTACTACCAAAACAAAACAAAATTATTAGTTTCTAGTAATAAATTAAATAATTACCTGAGGTTATTTTTCATGCATGGGGTGGGGGAGAAACAGTGTAAGGGACAATTGCCAGAAAAACTATTTCTATTGCTATTTTGGGTATATGCACTCAACTTCACCCTACTTCCGTCAGCCCTCACTTGCTCTCATCTATCTAGCTACTTTGCCAAACCCCGCACACCATAACTATTGAATGTAATGATTTAATGTGTGTGGTAGTTAAGGTTGTGTGTCAACTTGGCTGGGCTACGGTGTTGAGTGCTGGGCAGCTGGATATAGTTGTTCCCCATGATGAGACTGGAATCAACTCCATGGTAGACTCTGCTGTGAGCACCTAATCAGTTGCCCTCGAGTTGTGGTCTGCCTTCAGTATACAGGGGGAGGTCTCTAGCTTTGGGCGCATCTGGATCTTGCATTTGGCTGAGTCTTCATCTCAGTGGCCTGCCATATTGCCTGCTGATGTTGGGCCTGTGCCATTTAACTTGCTGACCTTGGGTTCATCAGCCTCAGCAGCCAGCAACTGCCTGAGTTATGAGATGCCTCTAGTTCTATTGAGCCTGGAATAAGAAGCAGAGCTGAAGCCCAAGGTCGAGGGGCCTTCACCCAGCCCCTAGACCCAGCACTCTGAATTTGGACTTCTAGCCTCCTAAACTATAAAAGAATAAATTCCTATTTGTTAAAGCCATCCACTTGTGGTATTTCTGTCTTTGCAGCACTAGAGAACCAAGACAATGTGCTTGTGTGGATATAATGTTTATAGAATGTAGACTTTTGTCTATGTGTGTGTGTGTGTGTGTGTGTCCTTCTCTAGATGTGGGATCTATGTCATCTATATGTGTATATTCCTAGGGTTTCTTATCTGTAGGTGAAAATATACATGAGATGTATTCATCTGTGGGTATCTACATGCTCTCTTAAAGGTTTATAATTGGCCATTCTGAACCAAAGGTGGGCCTGGCATCCCTAAGGTGGACATACATGAATTTCAGACAGATATGCTACTACTCACAAAGGAATATTAATTTTATACACAGTAAGAGCTTCCTACTTTATAATGATAATCATAAAAAGGGGAAGAAGGGAATTAATACTTATCGAACACCTACATGCTAAGCACCATGTTAAGTTAAGTTATAGGAGCTCTGGTGGTGCCATGGCTGAAGCATTTGGCTGCTAACCAAAAGGTGAGTGGTTTAAACTCATCAGCCACTCTGCATAAGAACGATGATGCCGTCTGCTTTCATAAAGATTTATAGTCTTGGAAACCCTATGGGGTCACTATGAGTTGGAATCGACTCTATAGCAGTGGGTTATGTACTTTATAGCTATTATCTCACATAATCTTCACAACCAAAAACCAAACTCACTGCCATTGATTTAATCCAACTCATAGCAACCCCTCCTTGGGTATCTGAGGCAGAATTTCTATGGAAGTAGATTGCCCAATCTTCCTTCTGAGGAGTGGCTGGTGGGTTTGAACCACCAGCCTTCTGGTGAGCAGTCAAATGCCTTAGGCACTATGCCACCAGAGCTCCTACAACTACCCTAAGTACGTCCAAATCATCCCAGTTTTATAAATGAGTAATATGAGGCTTGTCACAGAGTGAATAAGTGACAGAGTAGTCAGATTTCAGAACCTGTATGTTCATTCTCTAATACAAAGGCTCAACTGAAAGGTGAGGAAATTTCTCCAAAAAAAATGATGATGAATGAGTGATATAAAATGTGGCTTTAACATTTTTATTTGGTAGGCTTGCTTCACTTTTTTTTTTTTTTACAAGAATTATGGGTATTTGCTTAAGGCCATAAAATTGAAAGGACTCTGGGGTTTGGTTTTATTGCAAACCAGAATAATCTGCTGACAGGGAAGCTCGTTATCTTAGGCTGGGTTCTCTAGAGAAGCAAAACCAGTGCTGTTTCTATCTATGTATCTATATAGATATATAGTTATGGATATATAGAGATTGATTTATCTCAAGGAAATGGCTCACATAGTTGCAGAGGTTGGCAAGTCCCAAGTCTATAGGTTAAACATCAAGCCGAAAGCTTCTCCTAACTCACACAGCTAGCTACATGGGCTGATGTACCCAAGATCTGCAGGTAAAATGGCAGGCTGTTGGTTCACAGGCTGCAAAGGCAACAATCCCAAGATCAGCAGACAATATGGCAGACCTCTGGTTCAAGTCCCGATGATGAACCAGAAGTAGGATCCCAAGCAAAAAGCCAAAAACTTTTTCCAGAGCTTTTCCATATAGTGTGGAAGCAGGCCCTACACATTCCACCTACTTTTTTTCCTAGACACTTCTCCCATTTTACACTTTAATATTAAATTTCATTTATTAAATTACTTCAAGTTTCTAGAAGACACCATGCTATTTCAGGCTTCCCTGATTTGGTATATACACATGTCTACTTTGATTGCCTCCAGGTCATCATTGGCCAGAGTGAAGAATGGCCCCCAGGTACTGGCAAAGCCCCCTATGGTCTGCTCCCTCAGTCCTCACAGGAGTGTCACTGTTATGGCCCTTGGCATCTTTAGGGCCAGTCTCAGCATAACCTTCATTCTTGTTTATCACCAGAATCCTAGCACTTCCTCCAAGATCAATCCTCGTGCAAATCTCCCACTGCCACTTCCACTTCATTTTCCTTGCATTGTACTTACCATCTTTTATTTGTATCCCTCCAAATTTTGGTTTTGCTCATTGCTTTCTTTATCTTGCTTGCATAAGAGCAATGGCTAGGACCCAGTCAGTACTCAATACATTTCTGGTGAATGAATGAACTTGGAAGAAAAGTTTACACAAAAATTTATACTAGGTATTGTTTAAAAGTTGAAGTTTTGTGCTTCAAAATTTATCTTATCCCCATAATAATATTTTATCCTCCATTTAAACATGCATCTAATTTTTAAGAAATCTTATACAAATGTTATTTTATTAAGATGACAATCTAATTTACATCTCTTTAGACATTTCAAGGAAAACATAAGGCATCATAAACATAAAAACTACAATAGGCAAAATGCAAATTTACAATTAGAAAATAAACACAGAAATTTAATTTTGGACTATGTGGTTATTGCTGTACTACCTTTAACTTGTTATTCAAAGTCCAAAATGTAGGTAAACCCTAAAAATGTAGCAGAAGCATTTCCGCACACTGGTATCCATAATCTAGTTTGTGCAGAAGTGTTTCCACTAGATTCATAGAGTACTCTTTGGAAGGAAGGAGCGGAGTCTGGTCATCTGGTCGCCCTTCGGACCTTCTGCAGCTCTTCAATGGGTTTCCATTCTTGGTTGATTGTTACAAGCTTCAAACAAACAAAAAGAAATGCTTTGTTGAGGATCTGTCCTTTCTCTTAAGGTCTCCCTTTGGGAATTTGTCCATGCCCCCCTTTGGAAAAAGTATCACCATAGTGTTTCTTGTTCAAAAACCACTTCTTCCCATCTCTAAAATGTACGAAATGGTAATGGACAGGGGGCTGGTTTCTATCATTCCATCTCTCTAAAAAGCCGGTGGGTTCCTATGTGTTAATGGGTTCCGAGAAAGGCCACACAGCTTTGCCCCACCCTCATATAACAGCATCTAGATTTTTTTTTCCCCTAGTCTCTGGGTGGTGCAAACAGTGAATGCACAGCTACTAACCCAAATGTTAGAGGTTTAAGTGTACTCAGAGGCGCCTTGGAAGGTCTCGGTGACCTACTTCCTCAAAACCAGCCATTGAGAAGCCTGTGAAGCACAGTTCTACTCTGACACACCTGAGGTCACCCTGAGTGGGAACTGACCTGATAGGAACTGCTTTAGATTGTCTGTAATTCCCATGGTTTGTTTTATGAGAGCCCTAAGTTCAAAAAGCGTGTCTGTGCCACATGGGTGGATGTAGAATGGCCCCCAAACCTCCTACCACAGGGCTTGGACCTAGTAGGCTCTTAATAAAACTTTTTCCTTGTAATTACTCGATGAAGGTACAAAAAGTTACACAAAAATGGAAAGGGGACCATGCTATGGATTAGACACCTCTTCACTTCCAAGAACTCACCTTCAGGGAGCCTCGTTTATCCTCCAAAGTTCACTATTACTCCAGGATGTAGGTAGTTTTAAAATCTTAATGTCCCTTCACTAGGTAAAATGTGCTATTTGAGAGTTTTGTAAAAAACAAACAAAGGTGAAAAAGAAAAAGATTTCCTGACAAAGTAATGTTCAGTCCAACAAACGCAATGTTTCTTACTTCCAAAATATTTAAAAAGTGAAAAAAACTCTCTGCAATAGCCTTAAAAGAACAAGTGGATATTTTCTAATTTGCTTAAAGAGACTGCTACTCCTGTTTTAAAGAGCTCCTAGAAGCTCTGGTGGTGTAATGCCTAAGACATCTGACTGCTAACCAGAAGGCTGGTAGATCAAACCCACCAGCCACTCCTCAGAAGGAAGACTGAGCAAGCTACTTCTGTAGAGATACCACCTCAGAAATCCAAGGAGGGGTCGCTATGAGTCGGATTTGACTTGACAGCAGTAGGTTTGATTTTTTTTGGCTGGAGCTCTGGTAGCATAGTGCCAAGGCACTTGACTGCTAACCAGGAGGCTGGCGGTTCAAACCCACCAGCCACTCCTCGGAAGGAAGGTTGGGCAATCCTACTTCTGTAGTGATAACTGCCTCGGAAACCCAAGGAGGGGTCGCTAGGAGTCGGGGCCGACTCGATGGCAAACAACAACAACGTTTATCATAGGAGCTGTGGTGGCATAGTGCCTAAGGCATTTGACTGCTAACCAGAAGGGTGGTGGGTCAAACCCACCAGCCACTCCTCAGAAGGAGACTGGGCAATCTACTTCCATAGAAATACTGCCTCAGAAACCCAAGGAGGGGTCGCTATGAGTTGGATCCTACTCAACGGCAGTGAGTTTGGTTTTTTTTTAATTATTATTTTTATTTATCATAATAGCCCTTGTATTAACTTTAGATATGTAATAGTTAAAATGAGGTAACATATTACAATAATGAAAGGTGAAACTTGAGTGCTTACTATTGGACAGATTATGCTAAATGTCCCTATATATTTTTATCTTCTTTAATCCCTTTAACTGCTCTGAGGTAGAGCTCTTTTATCATGCTATTTTATAGATTCTCAGAGCCTCAAAAAAGCCAAACTGTCTAAAACAAAACAAAACAAAACAAAACCCCACCTTACTGCAATCAAGTCTATTCCAACTCATAGCGACCCCCATTGCGTTTCCAAGGCTGTAAATCTTTACATCTTTCTTCCATAGATGGCCGGGGGCTTCAAACAACTGATCCTTTGGTTAGCAGCCAAATGCCTCAACCACTACACCACCAGAACTCCTTAAACTGTCTAAAGTCATCTGTTAATAAGGGAGCAAGGATTTGAAGTAGATCTCTCAAACTCTCGAACACTCTTTAACACTACACACACTAAAGGGCACCCTGAAAGGGTAAGGGATAAGGGTTTGTTGTGGATAGGGGTGCCAAGTTTGGGGCTAAATATAAATCACTTGCTTGTAATTTAGCAATACCTTTGCAGGTACAGTAGGATCCACATGTTCCCAAGGTTCTGGATTTTTTTTTCGATCAAGGCTAAAAATACAAGAAGTCTAATTAAATGTTAAAGTTAGTGAATTTTAAACCAACACTGGTAGTAGGTCTATAAACATGACCCAGTCTGCATACTTAGGCATTCCTTTGTTAGTTAATTATCAGAAATCATCAGTAGGAACTAAAATTGATGGCAGAATCTTAAGAGAGTTCCACAGTTTGGCTCAAAAAATAGTTTCTCTAAGCAGGACAAGCTGAATAACAGTAACAGTGGAACTGCCAGTTTAAGAAGAAACAATTTGTCTCTGCTGCCAGCAGAGGTGCTGAGCTTGAGCTGTGCAGGTAATGAACTCTGCATTGAGATTCTCAGCCAACCCCTGAGTTTCTGTTGTCCTCTCTAGCCCTGCACACTGGACCAAGCTCAGTTTCCAGTTCTTTCTTATATTCTAGGACAAATAGTGTTCTTCCTTCTCATAACTGAAGTCAAGATGAAGTTCATTTTCTAGCAATTCTACCAAATTTGGATATATCTAATATGTTTTTTTAAAAAAATTAAGTTGTAATTAAAATGACTTATGTTTGATGATGTATACCTGAAAAGGCTATTTTAAGAACTTTACATTTCAAATCTTTAAATAATAATAATAAATTTTACTTCACTGATGAAGAGATGGAAAAGGACCAATGGATATGAGAGGAACAAACTAATTTATTAATATTATCATTTACAAGCTATCAGAATGCTTTCTAGCCCTGACTTCACTTCCATGATTTAACATTCAAAACTAGGAAACTGATATCACATATTCATAAGCCAAAGTCAACCAAACACCTAAAACGTTTATCATAAATCATGCCTACTTACATCACATCGGTTTTTCCAAGGGAATACACAGCAAAAGATGTGGCTCCGCTTGCTGCAAAAGTCATAATCGCCACCAAAGGAATAAGCTAACAGATAAAAGGTTGAGAGTAAATGTTCAAATGTTTGGATCCAAAACATTTTAAATATGGCAAATTAGCTACATATCATTTTATACTTTCTTCAAAATCTGGACCATATTTTCATCCTTAAAAGTTAACAATTTTTCAATCATGATTTTTAATGACTGCTTTAAAAACTTACTTCCTTCTTTTTCATCAGGAGTTGAAAAAAGTTCATGATGACTTGAATGTGGAGTGTCAAATCTAGAATTAAAAAATCCAAAATATTGATCAAAACTTTGGCCACTAGGATCCAGTTTTATAGGTGCCAAAACTTCCAACAAACTCCAAAAGCCGACCAAGGTCTGCCCATCGCTGCCTCTGAACAGTCGCCTCACCTGGAGGGGAGGGCGGGGCGGCGCGCGTAGAGGATGTTAAATTAACGTCCAGAACTGAACCAAGACGCGCTCTCTTCACCTTATATACCGACTCGGCCGTGGCGTTCTGGTGACGCGGGCGGGGCGGCCCGGGAGCCTGCAGGATCTGACTCGCTTTCCCCGCGCGACGCCCGCCTTTTGTGCGCCTCTTCTGGACACTCTGTCCGCAGGCGGAGCGCAACAGAGCGCGGGCGCCCCCTGCCGCTCGCCGCTGTCCTTACCCACGGCCAGGTGCGCGCGGCGGCTCTGCATTGGCCCGTTCCGGTGGTTTCTCGAGCTCCCTGCGCGGGCAAGGGATCTGAAGGGCTCAGGTGTAGAAGGAGGAAATTGGGGACAAGGGGGAGTGAGTCCCCAGAAAACTTCCTAAGTGTCAGCAGGTAAATTGGAATAAATCCAATCACTTTAAAAGCGCTGTGATGCAACGCACATGTGGAAATAGTTAAAATTGTTAAGGCCAGTTCAGAATAACTCCCACTGTGTCCTAATTTTTTTCATTAAGAAAATTGGAGGAAGTTGGAAGGGAGTTGTTACATTGTGGTAAACTGTGGTCAATGACATGAGACAAAGTATATGTGAACTGCTGTATCGAGAGTGAATTTACTCTAAATCTTCACCCAAATCACAATAAAATAAAATAAAAAAAAAGAAAATTGGAGGAGAAGAAATGAAATGAGTCAGAAGCAAAGGTTTCAAGAGGTAAGTCTCTGCAGACGATCTCTCTCTTTTTTTCTTTTTCTTTTTTTATTGTGATTTGGGTGAAAATTTACAGAACGAATTCACTTTCCATACAGCAGTTCACATACACTTTGTCTCATGACATTGACTACAATTTACCCCCATGCAACAGCTCCCTCCCACTTCCTCCCAATAGTTACCTTTTCCCTGTGTCCATCCCCCCATGCACTCCTGCCCCCTGGCTGTCTCCCTGTGCATACACAGCCCTTCTTTCTCCTATGATTTTTCTCTCCAAGGAGTGTATTTACCTCAGGTAGATGTTCAACTCATATGCCTGTCTTTTGTTTGGCTGGAAGCCACAGGTGTGAGTTCAATTCCAGACCTGAAGGGCAGCTAGGGGCCATAGTCTCAGTGGTTCCACCAGGCTCTATCAGACCAGCAAACCTGCCCCCCCCTTTTTTTCCCAAATGATTTTGAGTTTTGTTCCACATCGTTCTCCCTGTCTATCTGGGATCTCCTACAGAGATCCCCCTCCCAGCGGTTGACAGTGGTAGCCGGGCACCATCTAATTGTTCTGGTCTCATATTTGCATAGGCTGCGGATCGCATGGTGTACTAGTCGCTAGGACTAATTGTTTCCATGAATGTTTGGTTTTCTTCATTCTTCTTTGCTCTGGATGAGGGGAGACCCATTGTTGCATCTAGATGACAGCTTGCAAGCTTTTAAGATCCCAGTTGCCACTTGCCAATGTAGGAGGTGGAACAATGTTTTGTGTAGTATGTTATGCCAATTGAGCTTGATGTCCCCTGTGACTATGGTCCCGAGCCCACCAGTTCAACTGTTCAGTCCCTCTGGGTAGCTGGCTGTGACCAAGAAGTGACTACAACCTTGTCCCTTGTCAGCTCTGCTATACACCTGGGACGACATACATGCAGATGACCTCTTAGGCTGCCTTTTTCTGGGGCCACCTTCTCCTAATTTGCTCCTAAACCAGCAGCCTCATCTCCAACAGAGCCTGCTTGCAGCTACTAACCCACAGCAATAATAATAACAATTGCACCAAACCAGGGGCTGCACGCCCGACACTGCCAGATTCCTCACCCGACTTTGCAAACTGGGTATGCCATTTAGACTCAGAGAGGTTCCAGTAACTAACAGCTGACAAGTGGCAGGAATGTGATCAGGACTTAAATCTGTCTGGCACCAAATGCCACACTGCTGCACCCTGGCCCTAGCTACTGCAAGGTGCTTACAATTTTTGTTGTTGTTGTTAGGTGCTGTCGAGTCAGCTGACTCATAGCAACCCTGTGTGCAACAGAACGAAACACTGCCAGGTCCTACGCCAGCCTCATAATCCTTCCTAGGCTTGAGCCCGTTGGTGCAGCCACTGTGTCAATCCATCTCGTTGAAGGTCTTCCCTTTTTTTTTTTTTTTTTTTGCTTACCTTCTACTTACCAATCATGATGTCCTTCAACAGGGACTGGTCCCTTCTGACATCGTGACCAAATTTGGTTTGGTGAGACGAAGTTCTGGACGTTTTCACTTCTAAGGAGCATTCTAGCTGCATTTCTTCTGGGACAGACTTATTCCTTCTTTGGGCAGTCCATGGTATTTTCAGTATTCTTTGCCAACACTGCAATTCAAAGGCATCAACTCTTCTTTGTTCTTCCTTATTCATTGTCTAGCTTTTCACATGCATATAAGGCAGATGAAAATACTATGGCTTGGGTAAGGCATACCTTAGTCTTCAAGGTGACATCTTTGCTTCTTAACACTTTAAATACATCTTTTGCAACAGATTTGCCCAGTGCAAAGCCATGTCTGATTTCTTGACTGCTGTTTCCATAGGTGTCAATTATGGATCCAAGTCAAATGAAATTCCTGACGTCAATCTTTTCTGTTAATCATGATGTTGCTTATTGGTCCAGCTGTGAGGATTTTTGTTTTCTTTATGTTGAGGTGTGATCCATACTGATGACTGTAGCCATTGTCATTCTCCAGTAAGTGCTTCTAGTCTTCTTCACTTTCAGCAAGTAAGGTAGTGTCGTTTGCATGTCACAGCTTGTTGATGAGTCTTCCTCCAATCCTGTTCTTCTTCATATAGTTCATCTTTGTGCATTATCTGTTCAGCCTACAGACTGAATAAGTACAGTGAAAGGATACAACCCTGATGCACACCCTTCCTGATTTTAAACCATACAGTATCCCTGTTCTGTTCGAACAACAGCCTCTTTGTCTATGTACAGTTTCCTCACAAGCATAAATAAATGTTCTGGAATTCACATTCTTTGCAATGTTATCTATATTTGTTACGACCCACATAGTCAAATGCCTTTGCATAGTCAATGAAACATAGGTAAACACCTTTCTGATATTCATTGCTTTCAGCCAAGATCCATCTGACATCAGCAGTAATATCCCTAGTTCCACAACCTCTTTTGGATTCAGCTTGAATTTCTAGAATTTCCCTGTCAATATACTGCTGCAACCATTTTTAAATCATCTTCAGTAAAATTTTACTTGATTGTGATTTTAATTATATTGTTTGATAATTTCCATTCTGTTGGATCACCTTTCTTTGGAATGGGCACAAATACTGATCTCTTCCAGTCTATTGGCCAGGTATCTGTCTTCCAAATTACTTGACATAGACAAAAAAGTGCCTCCAGCACGGCATCCATTTGTTGAAACATCTCAGTGGGTATTCCATCAATCCCTGGAGCCTTGTTTTTTGCCAATTCCTTCAGTGCAGCTTCAAGTTCTTCCTTCAGTACCATTGGTTCTTAATCACATGCTACCTCCTGAAATATTGAACATTGACCAAATCTTTTTTGTACAGTGACTCCATGTACTCCATCTTCTTTTGATGCTTCCTGCATCATTCACTATTTTGCCCATAGAATCCTTTGTATTGCAACTCAGGGATTGAAATTTTTCTTCTAAAAGTTCTTTCAGCTTGAGAAATGCCTCTCATGTTCTTCCCTTTTGATTTTCTAACTCCAAGTGTTTGCACATTTCATTGTATTGCTTTTACTTTGTCTTCTTGAGCCACCCTTTGAAATATGGTCAGCCCTTTTATTTTGCCATTTCTTCCATTCACTTTAGCTACTCTCCATTCAAAAGCAAGTTTCAGTCTCTGCCATTTTGATCTTCTCTTCCATTCCTGTATTTTAAATAACCTTTTGCTTTCTTTGTATATGATGTTCTTGATGTCATCCCACAACTAGTCTGGATTTCAGTTATTGATATTTAATAGGTAATTAAATATAATGATGGGATATAATCAATATCATATTTTGGCTCTTGTGGACTTGTTTTAATTTTCTTCGGCCTCAACTTGAACTTGCATGTGAACAATTGATGGTCTGTTCCACAGTCACCTCCTGGCCTTGTTTTGACTGATGATACTGAGCTTCTGTATTCCCTCTTTCCACAGATGCAGTTGATTTGATTCCCCTGTGTTCCATCTGGCAAGGTCCATGTGTACAGTTGTCATTTATGTTGTTGGAAGAAAGGTACTTGCAGTGAATCAGTCGTTGTTCTTGCAAAATCTATCATGCAGTCTCTGGTGTCATTTCTATTACCAAGGCCATGTTTTCCAAGTACCTTTTTTGTTTCCAACTTTTGTGTTCCAGGCACCAGCAATAATCAATACATCTTGATTGCATGTTTGGTTAATTTCAGACTGCAGAAGCTGGAAAATTTTTCAGTTCCTTCATTTTTGGCATTAGTGGTTGATATGTAAATTTGAATCATAGTAGTATTAACTAGTCTTCCTGGTAGGGGTATGGATATTATCCTATCATTGCCAGCATTGTACCACAAGATATATCTTTAAATGTTTTCTGACAATGAATGGGACACCATTTTTCTTCAAATTGTCATTCCCAGCATAGTAGGCTATATGATTGTCTGATTCAAAATGGCCAATACCAGTCCCTCTCAGTACACTAATGCCTAGGATATCGATCATTATCCATTCCATTTTATTTTTGACAACTTACAATTTTCCTAGATTCATACTTTGTACATTCCATGTTCTGATTACTAATGGATGTTTACAGCTGTTTCTTCCCATTTTGAGCTTACAGTTTAGTGCCCATAAGTAACTCTAACCCAGGGCATG